TGTCGCATTTTGAATTTTCAACATTTCATGAATCGATCCGGCCTAATAAAGAGGTCTTAACAAGTCAAATTGAAAACCTTCGCCAGGAAAGGGATGAAAGTTTGAACAGTTACGCTGAAAGAACAAGAAAATTACTCACCCAAAAGAATGCAATGTACGAACATTTGACCAGTGAACAAAGAGAAGATTTTGAACGCTTAGCACGTCGCTCTTTTTGCAAAGGTATTTCAAATGCGAAGTTAAGGGAAAGTATGTTGATTAGAGGCCCGACTCCACTGAATGATGCGATTTCATACAGCATTGAAGCCGAAAACGACTCTTCGGTTGAGATCAATAGAAACGAACGGTTCTGTTCATATTGCCAATCTCTTGGCCACATAAACCGTGATTGCAAACGACGCCCCAATAATAATGGCATGGAGCAATTAGTCACTTTATTTTCTAATCTAAATCGTCCCACCTGGCTCCCTTCATTCGGTCGTTTCGATCGACCAGGGAACTTTGATCGTTTCAGTCGTTTCAGACGACCAATTTATGGTCGCTCGAATAATTTCAATCGCGACTTCAGAAGTCGTAATTTCGAGCAAAACCAACAAAATAACAGGCCAAACTGGCCAAATAATAATTGGACGCCCACCAACAATAATAGCAATAACAACGAAACTCAGCCACGTAATAATGGCCAAAGTACCATGGAAGCGATGCAAAATTCAAAAGACAATTCACAACACATTTTGTTGCAAATGAACCAACGTCATCTACCAAATTACGAGAAAGGGGACCCGATTTTTCGAATTTAACAGTACAACTTCATGCACAAGTCAATCAATTCGCCAATGAAATCGTGCAAAATGGCAAGCTAGTAAAGATAAGCAAAACTAATATTTACAAGCAAATTGCTGAAAATGTGAAAAATACGAATTATAAAGCCGTTTACCTATCCGCGAAAAGATATTTTACGAAGCGTATGCCACATTTAGCAGAAGAAAGAGAAACAGATGATACATCCCATTAATACATATGCGATGAATTCGATGAATATAAACTTCATTCTAAAAAGCACAATGAATTTAAAATCAATATAAACGGGCTCCACTTGTTCAAATATGAAAATGGTGATGCAAAACCAAGTAATGAGTGGGCTCCGGTTTTCAGAAAATTGATTTTCGCAATGTCGAGAATTCCATGCGTATGGTCGATCGGAAGACCACGCATGGCTGCGAATGAATTTACTGTTAATAATCACTGTTTGCAACAAGGATGTTCTGTGAAATTATTTGCTTTTACAGAGAATAATCATAACTTGTTAACCGTACAAATTGCCGATTTTAAAGAAGATGTTTCTCACAATAAGAAATATGTTATCAGTGGTGATGAAAAAAAAGAAATTTTGAATATTGTTATGTTGATTTTTTTTAGAAATAAAATGGCAAATAATTGTTATGTGAAGAATGGATCTTCTCGTAATTAGAACTCATAGTTATTATATTCACCACACCAATAATGTATAAGTACTAATACGGAAATGTTACAATTAATGTGTTGCCATATGCAAACACAAAACACAATAGAGTGCAAATGTCATATCGATTGAAAGTCTTTCTTTTCGACGTGAGCTGTCAAGGTGAAAAGACGTACATTGGAATATGTCGGCCGTCGAGAAAGAAACAGAGTCAGAGACCGGTCATATTGCACGTAAGAATATATAGTTGATAAGTTTTGTCATCGCTGAAGAAATATAAATAAGTAACGCAAATCGCATATTTCTACTACAGCGGTCTCTTTGTTGGATCTTTTTACTGAATCAATTCATTGGGCGACAGCTTCCCATATTCAATTATTCATCGAACAATTCAACCTATATCAAAATTGAGGGTTAGGTACACCACGTTTAATATCGCTAAGATTTTTCACCGCAGACCATCACATAAATACAAGAAAACTCCAGAAATTCGTTGCGTTGATCATGAAGTGAATCGAATTTAACTGTGAACATCGCAACCATCGTCAAATCAATTTAATCGTCGTATCGTCACATTTCATCGTATCGCGTTTAGCATTAGTATAGCAATTTGATAACAATTAGCGTAAAATTTGTCAAATCGTATTAAGAATACATGATTAAAATAAGGAATTGTTCATATAACGTCACTGGTGTTTTGTGTTGAAGTGTATTAACGTCATAATAGTTTGATATTATTAAATCAGCCTTGTATGGTTTGATTATTGATATTTTTGAGGATTTCAGTACGAAATCGATTTTTTTTTTGTTTGAAACGTAGTTTTCACGATAAAGTATTACAAAGTTTAAGGAAAGGTAATCTTTACATAACAATATGTTGAAAACAGATAAAGCATCAGTTGTTGTGGCGAAATTGGCAGTTAAATATTTAAGAATTGGAGACGTAGAGTCACCAATTCTGCCAAATGTGGCAGCTGTTCGAAAAATAAAATCCAGACAAATAAATGAGCTTACATTTCACGAAGATCCAACTATTTCAATACGTGAGATGAAATATGCTGAACCCTATCAGAATACTATTGAAAATATTGGTTTGGATCCATTCGAATGCCAATTTGCTACTCCTTATCATTGATAAGTTATCAAAAGGAATTGTTACGAACTGAAACCAATCGAAAACGAATAATCATATCGTTAGATAGTAGTGGAATGCCTATTCAAAAGCCAAAAACATCGAGCTATTCTATACGGTGGGCACTGGTATCGCCATTTTGCTGTTGAAAGATCTAAGCATATGCCCTCTATTAAAGATTTTCAACAACGCTTGACGTCTGCGTCAACTTCATTGTTGTGAAGTCAAACATTGTTATGACATTTATCAACATAAAATAAGCGCCAATGAGTCACTGTTTATTGTTTAGTCTGCGTGAAAATTAAAGTTTACTTCAGTAAAATGGTGTTCTGTAAAATAAAAAATTGTACAACCAAAAAAGGCGAGCGAACGGTTTTCAAGTGAGTATTTTGAATGAGTATTTTTTTAATCAATAAAAATATTTATTAATTTGAAAAAACTGCTGTGTAGCATTCCGTATGATCCCAAGGTACGATCGGAATGGGCGAAGCAAATACGGCGTCATCAATCATTTGACGACACAACAATCACATACCCCGTATGTATTCTACATTTCACTCCAGTTGATATTAAAATCGCTGGCAAACGAACCACAATCAAAAAAGGATCGGTTCCAACAATTTTCCCATGGTAATTTTTCTGTTTATATTATATGCGATCGATGACATTATATTTTTTCCGATTTATTTCATTATTTCCGTGTGTAGTGCTAATGGTGATACGGTTGTTTTGGACCTCAAAGATGATGAAGAGCTTCCGGATATTGATTCAACAGTTGGTGAATATGAGAATAACTCGCACTCAACAATGTCACTGTCAATTGAACCGATTTCAAATACAAAACAAAAAAATGTGTCAGCTCAAGAGTCACCAAATCAAAAGGAAAACGATGTGCCAAACGTACGAAGCAACATCAATACAAGCAATATGGAATGCTCATCGAACCACATTGATCAGTAAGTTGTCCAAATGATCAGTGCTATGCATATCGGTGTATATATAATATAATTTGATAACGACCATACATATTTTTTCTATTTTTCTACAGACCAGACAAAACCATTACAATTACCAGCACAGAATATGCCCGTTTGCTTCTTGCCCACCGCCATTATCCGCCATCGATGAGCAATATCATCCACCGATTATGTTGACATATGAATGGCACATAAACAATTCAAGCGTAGAACAAATTCAAACTAGAAACTTTTTCAAAGCCGACTACATAGCAATGAACAGATACTTTGCTGAAATAGATTTTTCTCAACGTTTTTCGAATAAATCCCTTGATGAAAAGGTTGATATTTTACACCAAATACTCAACGAAGCAATCAGCAAGTACGTGCCCACTCAAACAAAAAAAATTCAATCGAAATGTCCGTGGAAAAATAAGCAACTTCAGTCTCTCAAAAATAAAAAAAACAAAGAGTGGAAACGATCGAAGTTGACTGGCGAAAATTCTAGCCATTTGATAGCACTCGACAACTACACGAAACTCAACACCGAACTCTACAACACGTACGTCGACAAAATGACTTCATCGTTAAAGTCAGACCCATCATCGTTCTGGCGTTTCGTCAATACAAAGAAAAATAGTGACTACGATCCGAAATTGCTGCATTTTGGTGAGAAATCATCGAGTGATAAGAAGGAGCAGGCTGAAATGTTTGCAACATTCTTCAAGAATAACTTCGCCAATCAACCGTCTCAATTTCAGAATGCTGCTCAAATGTCTCCTCAATCAATCTCAAATATGGATGAATACAAACTCAACGAGTTCTCCGTGTTCAATGAGCTGCTTCAAATCAACTCAAAGAAAGGAGCTGGTCCGGATGGAATTCACCCCATTCTTCTAAAAAATTGTGCTGCTCTACTGTATGAGCCACTTTCAACTATTTTTAACGAATCGCTCTCCACTGGAAATTTTCCCACTGGATGGAAGCGCTATAGTGTCGGACCAATCTTCAAGAAGGGATCGCGATCAAACGTTGAAAACTATCGTTGCATTGCCAAATTGCCAACGATAGCCAAATTTTTCGAATATTTGATCAATTTGGATCTCAGTAAAATGGTGGCAGATAAAATCGTACCCCAACAACACGGTTTTATGAAAGGCCGCTCAACGTCGTCAAATTTACTGGAATTTTCGCACTATTCCATCAAAGCACTGAACGACGATAAGCAGGTAGAAGTTCTCTACACTGACTTCAGCAAAGCATTCGACATCGTTGATCATTCGATTCTGATCTCAAAATTGCAAAGTTTCCACCTGCCACCAAACTTAATTGAATGGATTAAATCGTATTTGTCGAATCGTCGTCAATTCGTTAAATATGGACAGATGGACTCAAGCGAGTTTGTCGTAAACTCTGGGGTGCCTCAAGGAAGCCACTTGGGCCCCACACTATTTCTCCTTTTTATTAATGATATCGTAAATGCCATCAAAGACGACGATATCTTTATCTCTCTATTTGCCGACGATTTGAAATTAGCAACATCAATCGCCAATATCAACGATACATCCAAACTTCAATCAGCAATCGACAAGTTAGGGATGTGGTGTGACAACAACAAACTGCATTTGAACCTGGACAAATGCTCGATCATGTCCATATCGAAAAAAAGAGACAAAATAATAAATTCGTACTCTTACGGCAATCATAATTTTAAAAGAGTGAGTGAGCAAAGAGATTTGGGAGTCATCTTCGACAACAAACTCAACTTCATCAAGCACATCGATTCTATTGTGGCCAAAGCGACATCAGCACTCGGATTTGTGAAGCGATTCTGCTACGATATTCCTGATGTCCATACTCTGAAATCTCTTTACTGTGCACTTGTACAGTCAATTTTGGAATATGCCAGTTTGGTATGGCTACCGTATCATGGCATACACAAAAACAAAATCGAGTCATGCCTGCGTCAATTCACAATGTTCGCACTCAAAGAATATCCAAATATTTCAAACAACTTTAAAATTTCATCGTACAGCACTCGTCTAGGCAAGCTCAATATGCAGTCACTTCAAAGACGCCGTATAAATGCCTCAATTTTATACATATTCGATCTACTGCATAATAAGATTCATTGCCCATCGCTTAAAATGGAGATTGCTATAAATCAAAATGAACGCAACCTGAGAAATATCGAATATTTCAAAATCAACGACAAATTATTAAGAATCAATCCAACTGTGCCGCTCAATCAAATGTGCAAAATGTCAAATAAAGTCCACGAACTTTTTTCTACGCAAACGAACAGATCAACATTCAAAAATCGACTTTTAGCTTTAAGTGATGAACACTTTTCCAACTTGTCATTGGTGTCTAACCATAATACTGTTTTTTTGAACGATCAAATGTGATTCATTGTGATATTTATTCTATTTATTTATATCTACCGCTTTGACTAATTGTATCCGAGTGCAATTTGAAATTTTTTACTATTAGCTATTTATCTATTTTATTGATCTATTTTCACCTATTCAAACCCGTAAATTATTTTATATTATAACTCATTATTGAAAAGATGTGGTTTTTAATGGTGATCAGATGTATATTGCATCATTGATACAAACCTTTTCTCCACCAATACATGTATAAAGATATGTACAAACTCAAAACTATGATTCAGCCAGTTTTTGGCGGTGAATAAAGATTATTATTAAAAAAAATGGAATTCAACTTATGAAGTACAAGGAAAGTTGTTCTATTAAGTCCAACGAAATCAAAAAACTTCGGACTAAATTAGCACTCTATAGGAGAAAGACCAGTTCAAATGCTGAAGTGTCGGAAGACGATGATGATGCTGATACGATAAATGTAATTTGAGCCCGTTCAGGTCTAATTGTACTTCATTTTACTCGTTTACTCGGTTTTACTGGTGTCAGCTTATTTTCTACGGTTGCCTATATTTATCGATATTCAATTTGTATTCATTTTTATTGTATTCCTACGGATTAATTTTTTTTGTATCTTTCAAAACCTTTTCTTTCTTTTTGACTATTGCACCTTATCTTATTTTTAAATTTTATGTTACTTTTACGTTTGATTCTACATTGTATTTTTCCTGTTTCTTTCTTTTTTAAATAAAGCCTGCAATGCAAAAAAATTTGGACTGTTTGACTTTTGGTAAAGTTAGCAAATCATATTCGGAAGAAGTAAGAACATTCTGCCTAACTCTACATTTCTATAGCCCCCGTGCGTATAATTGTGTACGCACAAAATTCGAAAATCATTTACCAGCAATATCCACTATGAGAAGCTGGTACGCCTCAATAAATTCGGCACCCGGTTTCACATCGGAAGCGTTTGAAGCATTGAAATTAAAAGCGGACGAACAAAAGGATAATGGGAAACAGCTATATGTCAACATAATATTCGATGAAATGTATGTAGAAAACATGCACAGTGGAACCCATATAAAGAGAAATTCGATGGTTTCATTGATATGAGTATTCCGGGCACCAATGAGAAACCACTTGCACTGGCAAGAGAGTCCATTGTTTTTCTGGTGAGCGGTGCAAATGAGGACTTCAAAATGCCAGTTTCTTATTTTTTGACAAACGGTCTGATAGCCGAAGAAAGAACTGCGCTATTGAATGAAGTCCTCGTGCGTCTGGCTGACATTGGTATTGAGGTGATATCAGTAATATTCGATGGCTTACCCGCAAACTTTTCCATGTGCACATTGATGGGGGCCAATTTTGAAAACGACGAAGCATATACAAATGATCCCGCAAATCCCACGCGCAAAATATATATTATCCTTGACGCAGCACATATGTTGAAGTTGGCAAGAAATTGCGTTGCCTCCCGAAATTTGGTTGATCCAGACGGTGAAATCATCACCTGGAGAATCATTGAATTATTGTATTCAAAACAAAAGCATCTTCCTTTCAATTTAAGAAACAAATTGACGAAAGAACATATGGAATGGAAATATAAAAAAATGAATGTTCGTTTGGCTGGTGAGACACTCAGCAATAGTGTAGCCGATTCCATTGAATTTATGTCAAACAAATCGGAAGATTTTGTCGATTCTAAAGCCACAATAAAATTTATCCGGACGATAAATGATATCTTTGACGTGCAGAATTCGACGAAATTGGATGGCTCAATGGGATTTAAAAGGCCACTATCAATGTCAAATCACGTTGATGCGTTTGACCTTTTCCAGAAGGCATTGCCTTACCTGAAAGCTATTCAAGTTGAAGGTGAAACAACTACAATATTTTCATCTGTGTCCCGCACACCATTCATGGGCTTTTACATCAATATGATGAACTTGATGAACATATTTGATAATTATGTTCGCACAGGGAAAATTGAATACCTGGTAACACATCGACTTTCACAGGACTTGCTTGAATCATTATTTGGATGCATTCGATCCATGGGCGGTAGGCTATTTTTATGAGTATATTTATACATGCGTATACTAATGCCAAAGTTTCTATGCATTTAATCAATACATTTCCTTTTTATTCCTGTTGACAATTCAAGGTCATAGTGACAATCCCACTGCACAGCAATTCGAGGCCGCCTACCGAAAATTGTTGATTCATAATGATGTGGTATGTTCGGGTAAATCGAATTGCATCAATAGTAATGTAAAGTTGTTGAATGTGTCATCAAATCGTCCATCAAAATCAAATAAAAAGGCTTTCGATATCGGTCAATTAGATGAAGATGACGATTGGCTCAACCAGAACCTGTTGTATGTCGAAGATGTCTACGACCACACAATTGCATACATGGCAAGTGTAATTGAAGCCAGAATGATCGGAGCAAGGCGATGCAAAATTATCAAATGTGAACGTTGCATCTCTGCTTTCATCGAAAATGAACTGATTGATGACAGTTTCATCAGATTCAAGGCAAGAAATAGTAACATGATGCAACCTTGTAAAAGTACTTTCGAAATATGCAAATTTGTCGATTCTCATTTAAAAACCTACG